TATGAACTGAAGTCCGCCTCCTCCGGGGCCGCTCTGGCTGTTAGCCGCTAACAACAACACCGCTGTGAGCGGCTGTGAGTGAATGGCGCCGCGGTAACATGGTCATATAAGACCAAACACGCCACAGAACTATGGAGCTATTATTGTTTCAATAATATTTGTGTGTGCGTAAACAGATTTGTGTGTGCGTAAAAAGATTTGTGCGTGCGTAACCAGATTTGTGTGTGTGTAAAATAAATATTTGTGCGTGTGTAAATAGATTTGTATGTACGTATCAAGATTTGTGTGTGCGTAAAAAGATTTGTGTGTGCGTAGAAAGATTTGTGTGCGTGCAAAAAAAAAAAAGTACGTTTTACACAGAAGTTTTTTTTTTAGACACAAATCTTTTGACGCAGTCCTGCCTTCGCAGATTCGCAAGTGTAACTTGGACTGTGTGCGTGCGTAAACAGATTTGTGTGTGTGTAATTTGACATTTGTATCTGTAGCAGAACAATCTGTGTGTAAATAACCACGTTGTACGAAGAGAAGAACGGAAAAAAGCCTAAGTGCTACGCACAGGCTCTGTTTTACACACAAATCTCTTTTTGACACACCTCTGCCGCCAAGCGTGTGTCAAATAGATTCGTAAGCGTATTGTGGTTGTTCTATAGTACACCAGCAGATGGTGCTGTTGTATCTGGTTATTACCTACAGGCAAGCAAACCAAAACCTACTGCCTTGACAAGACACACTACCGCAGCTGTTTATGATATTTTTTTCCTATAGTCAAAATCCTGTCATTCACACCACTGTATTATACATGGATCTTTTATAATAACTGGATAGGGTGTTACTAGCTTGGAGCTGAAGGATTCTCGCATACTGCAGACTAAATTCACGTGGGCTACACAGAAATTGTCCCCATAGAACTCAATGTAAACTAAAACAGCTGACAGAGAACCTACAGCTTTCATAAAGGTCGGATTTTGTGGGAATTTTAGTGTCCCTTGTCATCCTGAACTTTTCTTCTTCTTAAATCCTTCGGTTTTCTTTAAATCTACACGTTAGTTAGTGCCACAAACTCTGCTGGTTTGCTTGCGTGTAGGTAATAACCAGCTACAACAGCACCATCTGCTGGTGTACTGCTAGAACAACCACATAACCTTCGTACAACGTGGTTATTTACACACAGATTGTTCTGCTACAGATACAAATGTCAAATTACACACACACAAATTTGTTTACGCACGCACACAGTCCAAGTTACTCTTGCGTCACCCTAACCCTTTTTTTTTACACACAAATCTTTCTACGCACACACAAATCTTTTTACGCACGCACAAATCTTTTTACGTACACACAAATCTGTTTACGCACTAGGGCTGGGCGATAAAACGATAACGATATATATCGCGATAGACATGTGTTCGATATCAATAGAGAATGGGGTCGATAGAATGTTCGATAGTTTAACTTAACTCCGTCAGGAAAAACAGGAAGAAAACACCGGAAGTAAAGCCGACTCATAAGCGCATGGCATTGTGGGGGATGTAGGCGGAGGCTTCTCGACCAATAACAGCCGAGCAGGAACCGCAAAACTTTGTGGAAAATGCAAAAACAACAACAACCGCAGCATGCGAAGCGTCCATGGATCTATAGCTCGTGTTTCAATGCTGTGTCAATGGTTATGCACGTACGTGCGCGGAATAACATGTGCGGCGGCAGAGGCAGTGGACAGACACGATGTATTCGGCGAAAGCAAGAGATTAACTTTTTCCTCGGGAAGCATGTGCGGCACAGAGAGCCACACGGAGCGGCCACGGGGACACAAGACCCTCAAACAGCTAAACCAGGAGCTAAACCAGGAATAAAAAACCAGGATTAAACCAGGACTAACAACGAGGGACACAGTGTGAACATATTTCTCCAGCCTCATCGCCCCGTGACTGTAAACAAGGCTGCTAAGGTTGGTTAGCCCACACGACAAATATATTTATTTAGGTAAAAAAAAAAACTCAATATATATCCTTATCGACCGATATGAATGACTTATATCGTGATATAGTTTTCAGCCATATCGCCCAGCCCTATTACGCACACACAAATATTATTGAAACAATAATAGCTTCATACAGAACTATTGTCTGCATGTTGTGTTTGTGTCTTTGCAACCTGTGCCTAACCTATCCATCCATCCATTTTCTACCCTTTAATCCATTTCTGGGTCAGGGGGGTGGCAATCAGAGAGGCCACCCAAGTCTCATAGCACCAGCCCCTCACTGACCGTCTGCAGGTGGTGAGTCCACAGGAGGACGGCTGCTCTCTGAGTGTGAGCATAGCCTTGATCTTTCAGTGGGGGCTTTGGGCAAAGTGGGGTTAAGTGTCTTGCCCAAGGACACAACGACAGCAGTCATCAGTGGGAGTCGGTGGAGAAGGTGTAGAGGTGGGAATTGAACCCACGACCTTCAGGCCTGAAGGCCAATGCTCTACCAACTGAGCTACTGTCGCTGGATAGGTGCCTGACCTATCCACACAAATACGCCGCTAAAGTGTCCGTGTCTCCTCCTGAAACTAAACTAAACTCGCTGAATTAAAGCTGGGGTATGTAAATTCCCCCCTTTCATTAACAGCTCATTTTGGTTGTGCCCAAAAGCAAAAGTTTGTGAGCAAATCAAACAGACAAATCAACAGTACATTTGGTATGAATGACAAAGTGTCATTATATTTGATAATCTCATTTAACTTCAATTGGAGTGGATTTTAAATAGAATTAATCGTGAGTTAACTCACCATTTCTGTGCGATGAATCAACTAAACATTTTTAATCATTTGACAGCCCTACTTACAATACATCTTTGTTCAACAATCCAACAACTTCTTATATGAAAAAACAATACCGAAACACGTTTTCAATAACAATATACACATTGCAAGAACTGATCAAACACAGTGAGAAGCTTGAATTTAGTAGTTTAAGCAGTTTTTGAATTAATTAGAAAAAAATGATTGTATTTTTACTCAAGCCGATTTGCCAGCGGAATTTGGAACAAACAATAAGGAATTTCACTGAGAAAGAAATTCAACTGTGCTTGAATTAAGACTCGGTCCTGGATCTACAACCTCAGTCCTGCTCTAGCTCTGCTCTGATGGGCAGCGCTGATTGGTCAGAGCGTGGCCGGGCCCCTCTGTGCACGTGCATGAGAGCCACACACGCGTATATGGCGCAACGCATTATGGGAGCTTGTCCACTGCGCAGAACTGGGAGGCTGCCCAAATACAGGTGAGTTCCGCAATTCTTTCGGCGCCCCTGCCGGCACATGCGCCACTGAACAAAAACCATTCATTTGAATAGGACACCATCTTGGATTGCCTGGGCTCAGGGCCGGAGTGGGACAACATTTCAGGCCGGGAGCTTTTCATCCATTCAGGCCAAACAAGGTTCTAAATTTGGGTTTTTGTCATTGTATTTTGATGTTCTTTTAATAGTTTTAAGATTGACTGTCAAAACTTTTGTTTTCTTTATTTTTTTTTATATTGACCGTTTATATAATCTCGGACGTTTAAGGATTGTTGTACGTTGCTTAGCAACGTAACGTTTATGGAGTTTAGTGAGAATAAAGACACACACACACACACACAATGAACTAAGTGTTCATTAGTGTATAACTATAACAAGCTAATCAATTATTGTTAAAAAAGTAGTAAGGTAAAATCACATTGTTACAGCTCATATAAAAGGAAAAATAAAAACGTGTATGAACCATCAGTTGGAGCGACCACTCATTTCAACCGGGGAAGCTACACTGGGTGCACTGCTAGGCTGGCCTGGCTGTGTAGCCGACGTGTGACGTCACATTTGTTTAATTTTGCTCTGGCCCAATGACAGTAAAGCTTTGGCCAGTGTTGTGCCAGTTCACAGCTTTTCTGAACTAGTTCAAGTTCAGTTCATACATGCTCAAAGTGAACAGTTCACGTTCGAAGTTCTCAATTTTAATTCTGAACTAGTTCAAAGTTCAGTTCATTTTACTTTTTGCGAGATATTCAAATAAATATTTTTTTTCACTACGAGCTAGAAATCACAAAACGTGGTATATATATATATATATTATATCTTGTACACTGCACAGGATGTTTTGACTCCAATGCAGACAAGATTTACATGGGTTTCAATGGGAACTGAGTTGTCCCATCTCTGCTCATAAGTACAAACTGTAATGCGCTGCAGAACGTGTGTCTATACTTTATGTCAAATGTAAACGGCCCTGTGTCACTGACTTACCCCTGTGTTTTCATCACGGCACATGTGAGTCCAACAACCAATGAATAGCACTAGCATACAGCGCCGCACCGCAAGTACACTGAGTCAGGGTGCGTTCACAGACGGTGGAAACCGTAGGAATTTTTAGTTTTCGGCGGAAACAGTGCGGAGAATACAGGAGGGAGGAACTTTCTCTCGTTGCGTTTCACTCAGTTTTAAATGGAAAACAAATTGTTTGCCGTTCATGACACATAATATGAACTAATTCACGTTCAAGTTCTTTATTAAAAAATGTGTTGCGTTCAGTTTAACGTTCACGAAAAAATGAGCGTGTTCAATGAACGCGTTCTTTTGAACTCATTCACGCACAACACTGGCTTTGGCCTGGGCCTTGCTCATTGGACCAGGCCACCAGGCAGGGTAGGAGTTTGCAAAGACCGTGAGGATGAAATTAAATTAAAAAAAATAAAAATAAAAAAAAGACCGTGATGATAGGGCAGGCCCAGGCCACTTTGACACGCAGGCCACCGGGAGATCTCCCGATGCTCCCGATGGCCAGTCCGGGCCAGCCTGGGCTTGTAATAACCTCTAAACATGTGCTAGCTGCTAACTGGTGGGCATTAGCATAAACACCAACCATCACCAAGCTTTTCAAATGCCACAATCAAATTGTTTGACCACTAAGAGAAACTGTTACTATTTAAAGGAGATATGTTTGGATTGTTCTAACTGTGCTTCGCTGGTGTTAATGACCGCTGCTCACCAAATTCACTGGCACACATGTGCTCCAGTATGGTGTCGGTGTTCATCTCGTTGTCACAGGGCGGGCAGACCGGGGAGTATCCTGCAAACACAAACACACACACTAATGAACATACACAAAAAGTATATACAAACACCCACAAGTACACACACACGCACAGGAACACATAGTAACGAATACACATAAGTATAGACCCACACACTTACGTGAATACACACAAGTATACACAGTTGACTCTGCATTATTATTTATTATCTGCATTATGTTTATTTATTCATTTGAATTTCATACTGATATCAGGGCCAATGCCATCTCCAATATCCAGCTGATGATAGAGGGAGTGACTAGAGTCAATTTTGTGGTTTGAAAGGCCATATGAGTGTTCTGTAGCAGCCTCAGCTCCTCGAAACCCTCCTACCTCCAGAGTAGGGCTGGGCGATATGGCAAAAAAGTAAAATCTCGATTTTATTTCCTGCTTTGGACGATGTCGATTTTAAATCGATTTTCAATAAAGACAGACTTTTCCCTTAAAATATTTTTTATCTTCCCGCTCAATATTTAAGTTTCAAAACTATTTTTTATTTGTTTCCCCCAATACATATTATAAAAGTCTTGTACAGACTTTGCTGATATCGCAAGTATAATTGATGTGCAGCTGGAACTCTCACAATATCCCTCATTCGATTTCACGATTTTCACATTTTTCACAAATTCGATTTTTTCAAAAGCCGATTAATTGCCAAAATTCGATTTATTGCCCAGCCCTACTCCAGAGCCCTGTGCGCTGACCTGACCTTACACAGGAATTTGACTTTTTATAGCCAGCTGCATTTCAACTGCAGTAAACAGCCACCGTGCTTGCGGCATGCGCACAGACCAACACACTGTGCATAAAATCCCTGTATGCGCTCACAAAGTATGAAATCAATGATACAAACATGCTAATGCAGGGCAGCGGAATGTTCTGCATTTCCAAGATAAGTTTGGATCACAGAAACATCAAAGGGTGAGGTGGGACTGGGAATTTCCTCAGAGAGAGGGCCACTGTACACTGTAGGTACTCGAAGTAGAGCTCCTGCTCCTCCGCATCAAGAGGAACCAGTTGAGGTGGCTCAGGAATAGATGGTTTTCCATCACGTGTGCATTACCCATGATGCTATGCGCAAACGCCATGTTGTGTGTCAAGCTTATTTTGCACGGATCATTAGTCACCATGTCATCTAAAGCCACGAATTCGGCCCACGCTGACCGCGTTATGTATATTGATACACTGTACGTAATCTGTAAGGTAAGATACTTGGGGAAATTGACAGTGATCGGAGATTTGGATCCATATGAAATGCGGCGAGACAAGTGGACTTCGCCAGAAATGGCTTACTTTCACTTAACAGTTTTACAATTAAAAAAGGTCATGATGTATATGATGCAATATTTCTTCTTATCACAGGCTGTACATCACTGACCCGGCCATACAAGCTTCTGTCTACCACCCTTTCCCCCTCCTCTTCTCATTCACTTAGAGGGGGTCACTTGAGGCCCACATATACATGGTATCACAGTTAAATCGGAGCTCTGAATATAAACCACACATACACAGATTTAGCTAGCTGTTATGAAATGGTCAGAACAGACCTTATAGTGCAGTTTTTCGGGGTTAGGGTTGAATCCCTCTCAGTTGATCCTCACCAACTAAAGGGTTCTTCTCTCCGTCGAGAGTCGCTATGTCGCTCCCGTGGCTCGTAATGACCTTCGGAATGTCCCCACAATCTGCACGGTTACTGCACACCCAAACAACGCAGGTAGTCGGCAGGTTTTAGCGCAAAAAAAGAGATGTGCTACGCTTTGTTTACCTACAACTATCGGCGGCTTGACTTACAAGATTGCGCACTGCGGAATTGTGGGTAGTGCGTTACGTCATTGTCATCCATGACCAATAATGGATTGGTCATGGATGACGATGACGTCACGCACTACCCACAATGTCTCCTGGATGCAGGCTTAAACCAATTACCTTTTTGCTATAAGGCATGCCTGCCACCACAGAGTCGAAGAGAATGGATTGGTTAGGAGTAATATCAAAATGCCACAACTGAAGACAAAATGTATGTGGAAAAATCAAATTCATACATAGCCAGATATTCTTATTTTGAGGCCAAATAGAATTTGTTGTACAAATGCAGTGGTTGTGTAATGACATTAATTCAAACTAGTTGGATTGCGTATTTAGCAGACACACACAATACTACTTATCCTGCGTTTGTCTCCAGTAGGTTAGACTACTGCAATGGCCTGCTCACTCCAAATGAGCTCTAAAACAGCTGTAGTATCAAAACGCTGTCCTCACTAGAACCAGGAAGCAAAAATATATCATGGCGCCCCTTGCACACTTGAAGAGGGCATCACAGTGAATAAGTGTGCAGTGAAAGTAGTCGCAAACCTCTTTCGGATTTAAAAACTGTTAAGTTTAAAATGTCTTCCACTTTTTCGGAAGAAAGAAAGAGCCAAAATGAGCCACCCTCTGTTAATCAGTGTTGGGCAAGTTATTGAGAAAACGTAATACATTTTGTATTACTTATTACTGTTATTTCAAAATAATGTATTACACTACAATATTACTCTATCTGAATTGTAATGCATTACCCTACTACTGCATTACTTTTAAGTTGGTTCTCCAAAAATATATATAGTAAAAAAAAAAGGATTAGGATTGAATCATCTCAAGTTCAATTTTATTAATTTAAGTCTAATAATCGAAGGGGTTGTTAATCTTGGGTCAGGTTCACCCCTGGCTTAGTCCTGGCTCAATCCTGGTTCAGTCCTGGTTGTTCTGGCTCAGTCCTGGCTCACAGCAGCTCACTGCTTTCTTGACTATGGAAGTGCATCATTCTTGCCGATGTTTAAAACGCGCCGCGTTGGCGCTCATCGCGCACGTATTTTCCGATATGGTTATAGGTTGCATCTGTTCATACCTCTACTTTGAGCCCCTTTTTCACTCTTCTTTTCTTCTGCGTTTATTGGCTGAACCTGACGGCTTGGACTGCCTTTTCATAATAAAGTTGACTTAAAAACACCAAACGTTGACCAAAAACACGTCCACCTATCTTTCTCACTTTCTGGGATGCGCGATCCACATCCCCCACCTACTCACCTTGGTTTGATATGATAAGAGTGCAGACGACAGCAGCAGGGTTCAATGTAGACGATTATTCATTTATTTTCAAACTGACGTGATGGGAAATACTTAGCAGAATAATAATTTTAAAAAAATGTAAGACAGCAATTTTGTGCCCCATCCTGCAGCAGGCGCCCCAGGCCAGCCCATGTCACAGATGCTCTGGGCTGGCCCTGATTCCAGTTCTCAGGTCTCTGCACCAGCTTCCTGTGGCTAAATGAATAGAACATATAGCAGCTCTGCTTGTATACAAGTCTGGCCTGGCACCAGGCCATGGCGAGGCCAAGTACATCCGTGACATGTTAGTGCCATTTGAACCAACTCAGGCACTGAGGAGCACAGAGACTGACTTAGCGCCAAGAGTCAGGGCTATTTATGTAGAGAAAATCTGGAAAATTCAGGTTAAAACAGTTATGTTTAGCTGTGCATACAACCAATGGATTGTATTTTCCCTTCACACACATACACAGCGGTCAGCAGCAGTTGTTCGTGCTTTAGTGGGGCTCCAGGTGCAAAGAGCTTAAGAAAACACTGCTTGTTTATTGGGCCACTGAAGTCAGTGTTTATTTCAATCCGCGCTTAAACCTCTTTCTTTATACAAATGTTTGCTACATGATTCACAAGTCCTGGGATTAACTTCAGAAAGTGGCAAGGAATGTATTCAAATTTGTATTAGAACTGACATTTATTGATTTTGTAAATCATATTTAATAAAATATCGATTTAATAAAAGCCCATGTGTCACCTCTATGACACACGCTGCCTTTAATGACAGCGCTGATGTTTCTGATTCACAGCACAGCTTTGTTTTGATACCAGGACCCTGTCCTGATTATGCCACAGCTTTCTCTTGCACAAGAACAAAGCAAGAGCTAGCACGGGTGGCCTGACAGTCATTTTTCTTTACTATTGTTAAATACTAGCAAAGTGGCTACTTGATTGAGAAACTGAAGAAAAACAACAGGATATAGTAGCATCAGGTAAAAAAAAAAAATCACAGTGTCATGGCTGCACTGGCAGGGGTCATCTATTAGCCAGGAGTACAGAGAACCGAATGGCACCGCCTCAGACCCAATTGAATATTTTGTTTCCTTTTGGACTACACAGCATCAGAAAGAACCCTCTATCAGGCATGTTTGGTGCGTTGGTCCCTGCCCTTACCCGCCTGGCTGCTCCTCCGTCCAAACGGATGCGAACAGCTGATGCCTGCAGTCTCGCGCTCAGCTCTGTGTGGTCCAGGGACAGGGGCTCATTCTCCGCCCGGGAGCCCAGAGCTGAGAGCACATACTGGGCTGTCACTCATCGCCCTCACCCCCTCACATCCATCCATTTCCCTACATAAACAGTCTAGATACTGTACCCTTATCCCGCTCAGACCACCATATGCGATTTGACTGGAATAAGAATAGAAAATATTAAGAATGCAGAAATTCTCAGCTGCAATGATTTGATAAAATCTTTTGTGGGGTTATCAAAATATATTGCTGTTGCGCGCACTTTCCACAATAGAGTATATTATACATTGATTATATATTGTCCTGGTAAAAATAATATGTTCGCAAGTGTCTATATTGCTTTACGTGGCTAATATAGCGAATAACTTGCCATAGTTCGATATAAGGAGATTATTTTTGCCCAATATTAAGAACTTAACTAAATGGAACAAGTGTATTCAAGTTCCAATTTTCAGTGCTGGCCCCAAACCAAACCATAAACAAACTCTATACATGTACCAGATTTAAACCTGCGTGTGAGAAACCTGGTTAGCACTGTGATGGCCCCTGAGTAAACCCATACCCTGTACGTACTGTAGATGGGCAGTGCTAACTTGCTTGCTCAATGAAGCCCAATAGTGAAGTGCTCATGAATGAATTTTGCTCGTCATTGCACAGGCTCATCTTGAGTTGAA